TCCTGGGTGTCCCTCAGGAGGGTGCCAGGTGTCTCCAAGAAGAGTGGTCCTGCATGTCCCCCAAGGGGTGTCCCTGCATGTCCCCAAAAAGGTCCTGCTTGTCCCCAGGGAGAGGGGTCTCGCGTGTCCCCTGGGGGGGTCCCACATGTCCCCTGGGGGGCCCTGCATCTCCTCAAGAAGAAGAGGGTCCCCCGTGTCTCCCATGAGGGTCCCACTTGTCCCCAAGAAAGTCTTTCCCATCTACCAGGTCCTTTCCACTCCCGTGACCGTCCCAGGTGTCCCCAAGCAGAGGGGTGGCCTGGGGGATGTCCCTGGTGTCCCCAGGTGTCGTCCCCCCCCAGCCCCTGATGCTGCTGTCCTGGCCAGGTGATGTTCTGCACCCTCAACACGCACAAGGTGGACATGGAGAAGCTGTTGGGTGGCCAGATCGGCCTCGAGGACTTCATCTTCGCCCACACCAAGGGTCAGCGCAAGGAGGTCGAGGTCTTCAAGTCGGAGGAGGCCTTGGGTCTCACCATCACTGACAACGGCGCCGGCTATGCCTTCATCAAGGTGACACCCCTGGGGACACGCATGTTATCATCGGGCAGGGAGACCTGGGGGTGCTCAGAGAGGGCCCTGAGCCACCCTGGGGTTTTGGGGGGGGGGACATGGGGACATCCTGGGTGGTGCCCAAGTAGATGTGGGGATGGGGAAGGAGACCAAGGGACATCCTGGATTATTGTGGGGGGACGTGGGGACCCCCTGGGTGGTCCCTGAGCTGCTGGGGGTTTGAAGGGGACATCTCTGACCATGGTGGGGGCACACAGGGACCCACTGGGTGGTCCCTGAGCTGCCCTGGAGCTGGTGGCGGTGGGGGGGAGACATGGGGACATCTTGGAAGGTTCCAGAGCCAATGTGGGGATGGGGAAGGAGAACACCAAGGGCCCCACTGGATTACGGTGGGGGGACGTGGGGACCCCTGGATGGTCCCTGAACCGCCATGGGGCTCAGTGGGACCTTGGGGACACCCCTGACCATGCTAGGGGGGGCCCATGGTGACACACCCCCCCCCCCCCCGGGGGGGTCCCCGGGCGGGGCTGGGGGG